CCTGATCGAAAGCGCATCAAAGCCTGGTCCGAGGTATCCCAGGCAGTCGAGCAGACCCGTTCATTTGCTTGACAATGCCACACTTGTAGAGGCCGCTGAACTGATCGGTTCTCGAGTTTGGGAAAGATTTCGAGCGTGGTGCCTTAGATCTCTTCGAGTTAGCACTTTCGAACAACTGATCGTTTGCCCTCAGACGTTGGTTGAGCTCTTGGAAGCCTTCGGCCGGGATTTGTTTGCCGAAGGGGCTTCGCTTTACCTGTACAGGCATTTGTTGACGGCAGTGCAACGATGGCAACCAGACTTCCGGCCTTTCATGGGCAGAGCATGGCAGTTGGTTGTTCGATGGGAAAGCCTGGAACCCGTTAGACACCGCACCCCCTGCCACTAGTCCTGTTCCGAGCCATGGTATCCATTGCTTCTCTCTGGGGCTGGCGGCGCTTTCTGAGTACCCTAAGTCACCGAAATTAGTAAATTTACATTTTTATTGGATTTACGTAAATTGATGAATTTAGGTGGCAAAAAGTGTAAATGGGTTAGTAAATGTAAATTTGATTTAGGTACAGCCTAAATTTATTTAGGTTGGTCTTCACTAAGGGTTTTTCCTATTTTTTCATTACTTTTTGATTTGCAAATATTCAAAACTGCATCTAAAACACATCTTTTGAAGAAAGTAATTTGTAAAACATATAGCCACAAGTAGAGACATTTGGATAAAACCACAAGCACACACACTCAGGTATAAGCACACAGGAAAGACAAGCACAAGAAAAATAACTTGGGTATAAGCACCATGAGCTTTCCATCCTTTGTCCTGTCCAGGACTTGGTTCACTATCTTGCGCTGTTCTTCTGTGCGTCCCTTCTTCATGCTCAAGGTCTTCTTCCAAGCCTGCGCAACATAGTCTGGCAGAGAGCCCTCAGACAACAAGGCCTGAAACTTGTTGTCCTTCGACCTGTCCTTCTTGGCCTCATCGCACTAGAAGAAGTCTGCATTGTCCTGCTCCTCCTCCTACTCCTCCTCCTCCACATTCTCTTGGTTCATCCTCTTCAACTTCTGGTGCTTCCTCCTCCTGATCCTCCTGCAACCCTGCTGCCCAGCCATGAGCTGCTGGCTTCTTCTTTGGCTGCACGGTTTCTCCACTGGCAGCAGGCCTTTTCAAAGAGCCTGCCTTTGGCTTTGGCTTTGGCTTGCTCTTTCCTTTTGCTTTGGGCTTCTTCCCTTTAGGGCTCTTTGCTTTTGGGCTCTTGGATTTTGGGGTCTTTGCTTTGGAAGCTGGCCTTTGCTTCACAGGTGTACTGGGCTCTTCAACTACACCATCGTCCTTCTCCTCAGGAGTGACTTGGCCCATGGGAATCTCTTCCTCTGCCATGCCAATGCCAACAAGCTACTGCACCTATCTTTCAAACCTTTCAAAGCTCTTTGAGATCAATCTAGCTGCAAAAGTAAACAACAACCAATAAGCCAGCTGCGCAGTAAACTCTCAACAACTTCAATTTGAACAACATACAATGCTGATCAACTCTTTGTGCAAAAGCTTTACATTCTCAGGTCCAAGTTCAAATTGAACAACATACAATGCTGATCAACTCTTTGTGCAAAAGCATTACATTCTCAGGTAAAGGATAAACCCACAAGAATGCTAGATATCTTTTTGCTGACAATATGATGCAGAATATAGCTTTTCAAAAAATCTGTCAAAAAATTGTATGAATTTTTGATGCACTTCTGATGTACTTTTCAAAAGTGTATACACTTTTAACAAAAGTGTTTACACTTTTGATCAAAAGTGTATACACTTTTGAAAAGTACATCAAAAGTACATCAGAAGTGCATCAAAAGTGCATCAAAAGTTCATCAAGAATTCATCAATATTTTCTCTTGAATTTATAGTTTTTGAACTAAATTTCATAAATACATATCAAATACACTTCAACTCACAACAAAACTAAACAAGACTAAGCGCACAATTCCAAGTTGAATGGCATCCTCATGTAAAGTATACTTACACAAAGTCTCAACCACTGAAGTAAAATACACTCAAGTAAAACCGTCCTCAAGTAATGTCTGCCATGCTCAAGTAAAGTGTGCCATGCTCAAGTAAAGTCTGCCATGCTCAAGTAAAGTGTGCCATGCTCAAGTGAAATCACATCCTCAAGTAAAAGCTCAACAGGTAAAGTCACACCCTCATGTAAAAGCTTCTCAAGTAAAGTCAGATCTTCTTCATGTAACAGCTTCTCAACATCATGTCACAATGCGTGCCCTCAACTCTACCCCAAAGGCTGCTTGTGTCTTTTTCACTCCAAGGATTCCAGAGATGAACTGCTGTCATCTTGCAGCGCCCTCATCAAGTCCATCATGGCATTGATGCGGTCACGCCTCCTGACAATGGTTTCAAGCCAACATTGACATAACTCTTGTTCATTTGCTGCAGTTAATACAAACTTGAACAATTAATTTTCAACAAACAAACTTGTTTAAAGTTCAGTCCAAGAATCTTGTCAGCTTTGCGCAATTTCCTGGCCCTTTCACTGCTTGTTTCCTTCTTGCTGAGGTGTCTCTTGTTCTTCTTCTTTTTCTTCTTCTCACAGAGCCAAAAGATCTCTCACATAAAACATGCACCCTCACACTGGCAAAAACCATTAGAGAATCAGAGAATGCTCTTCTTCCTAAAGTGAAGAAAAGTACATATCCTCAAGTAAATTTACTCCCTCAAGTAGACACCCTCAAGTAAAAATGTTTTGTTCAAGTCAAGAAGGGTACACATGCTCAAGTAAATGCAATCCCTTCAAGTAAAGGCAAAGTCCACACCTCCTGGCATGCTCAGTCAACAAAAACAAAAATCCATAGCGCAAATATCCTCAAGTACATGTTGTCCTGTAGAAAACCTGCCTCTTTGGAGAAAGCCAACTCACATAAATAGAGACATTTTCTGCTTCAAAATCATGCTCACAAAAATTTACTCATAACCTAAAAAATTTACTAATAACCTAAATTGGATTTACTAATAACCTAAATTGGATTTACTCATAACCTATATTGGGTTTACTATTAAATTTACGTAAATTTTTACGTAAATTTTCCTTAGTAAAACCAAAAATTTACGTAAATTTTATGGTTAGTAAAATTACTAATTTGGGTGACTTAGGGTATTATGCTGCTTTCATATTTTGGAATCTGCAGGCCGGGCGAGCCTCTTGGAGCCACGAGGTTCGACCTTCTACTACCCAGAGACCTTGTATACGAACAGCCAGATGTTTGCTTCCTCTGCATACGGCGCCCGAAAAGCCGGCGAAGGGGTCTTGGAGTGGTGCAACATGCTAAGATCACTTCTGCGTCAGTTGTGGCCGCATTGGATAGCGTTTTCAGTGGGCTGCAAGCTGGCGAACCTCTGTATGCCGGGTCACCATCGTCCTTTCGGCGACGTCGGGACGCCATTCTGGCTGCTTTGGGGGTTCCAAAGACCCTGGGCCTGACTCCGGCTTCCATGCGCAGTGGTGGCGCTATCACTGCGTATCGAGCTGGTGAAGACATTGTCAAGATATTATGGAGAATGAGGTTGAAATCATTGCAAACTTTTTCACACTACCTTCAAGAAGTAGGAGCACTTTCAGTTTTCGGCGAGTTGCCTTTTGACAGTCGACTGCGCATTGAACGAGCAGCGGAGCTCTACCCCATTTTGCTCCCTGGTCCTAGTTTTCCTGGCGGCGCCTAGCTCCAGCTGAGTACTCGACTCAGCCTTCGGCCGCGTCCGGTCCTTTCTGGAAAGTGGTTGCGAGGGCATTTGATTGGCTGACTGTGGCATGTTCTCTTGAGCATTTGCACTTGGGCGTCATCCAGCTCTTCATGTCCTTACTTTGTGGCCACCGTTTCATTTTGACTTGAGACAGTTCTGACAAGGCTGGCAGATGGAAAACAGTGCGAGGACCAGTGCACTCAGTCATATATATATATAACACTTGCATTTAGCTTGCGGTTGCAAGTTTTATGTTCACAAAAGTCACTGAAATGTTTCACCGGGACATTTTGGTTCAATTGAGAAGCAGTGACATTTCACTGCAGAGGATTTGTAAATCTGCGACTACATCGTGCGACTTCTTTTTGACTCGACGCCAGGGCTTCGCCAGTGGATTCTAGCCTCGCAGTTGTGGATGTCCACGGGGACACCGTTTTGGAGGGCGATACCCTCGATGCGGATTCTGTGACCAGCCTGGACATGGCTGATCTGAATGAGGAGGCCGACCTGGCCTCTGCCCTTTGGGACGACCGCCGTGGTGGTCACATACAACAGTTGGAGGTGGCCTTCGGTGTCCAGCCACAACCAGTGCCTGCTCCACCTACTGGGCCGACCCTGCCGACAGAGGGGCTGACTTGCCCCCCACACAGGTGGGGTAAGCCCCCGCGGCCAGTCAAGCGACCAACCCTTGCTCCCTTAGCAGAACCGGCGGCCAAGACTCCCGCACTGTGGAAGGGGCCATGGTGGCCCAGCCCATCAGATTCCAGTCCGTGCCCGGGGGCTCAGAGGACCCAAGCATCAAACCAAGCTCCAAAGAGAAAAGGTTCTGCAGATCCTTTGAGTGAGGAACTTGGAAAGGATATTTTTGTTTTTGCGCACAAAATATTCTATTTCATGTATACTGTATAATACTTTATAGCTGCGTGGTAAAATACGTTGACTTTAATAAGTGAAGTTAATGACACTGTGATTGGTTCCATTCCTTTGCTCCCATTTCCACGAAAGAAAAATGAAGATGCCGAAGAAGGCTTTTCAATGTAGAATCAGCGCTTTTGTGAAGGCCGCGCGCAATGATCCCACATGTTTTCTAGGAAGGCCCAACCCCTGCTTTGTAATTTCACTGGGCTTGCCCCTGGTGACACCCTCGGTGATATTGCTTCGTACCAGGCACTGAGGGCAACTCATGTTTTTCCACCATCAGTGCATTTGTTTTACTCCTCCGCGTTAGCGGTTTGTTCCGTCTCGGCCACATGTGCCCGAGCCGCAGGAAGTTCGGCAGTTGAAGCGCGAGCATCCGGAGCAGATGCACAACATCATCTCGGACTTAGAGGATCGGTGCACCCCCGCAAGACCCAAAAGTGACGAACAAGAAGCGACAATCGGCATCAAACCACATTGAGCCACTGCCAAGTAGAACTACCCTAAAGGTCTGGTGGGTTCGATGTGAATCCACTAAAGCGTGGTGTTCAGATGTTGCAAAGGTCGACTGTCACTCTTTCCAATAACAATCAGTAGCATATACTGTAATAACATGTATATAACAAAATAATTGAACATTACATAGTTTTCTTATAGGTGGCTGTGTTCTTTGGGGTTTTCCGTTCATGTTGCAGTTTCAAAACGTCCGGCGTCCGACGGCACGCCGGACCTTTGGAACCTCGGTCGTGGGGAAGGCGAAGTTCCTGCAGCGGCAGAAGAACTTCGAGCGGGACCTTCAGGAGGCAAAAGCTCCGAGAGTGCTTGCTGGAAAGACACGATTTCACCCTATGGGGTAGGGAAGGAAGGGTGAATGTGGTTCAGTTGAAGGACGTGGACACGTTCATGAAATGCAGGCAAAGTCTTGCTTGGAGCTGTCACCCCGTAGCGAACCATTTGTTTCATTGTTCCTCCAAGCGAGGATGTGAAAGAAAATGTAGGAGAAGGTGGCTTGTGACCACAGGTTTATTTTCTGGGTTTCAAGCTGTCAACACCCATGGAGACTCTGCTTGGCAGGGTGGAAAAGAGGTTTCTCCACTCAGCACGAATCCGCTTGCAAGTGGATGCAAAGCCGCGTATGCACTCCGTGGACATCTCACTCTATATTCAAGTTCTTTCACTCCTCTTGTCTCATAACCAAAATGTTCAACTTGCAAAATGGGTCTTGAAGCGACAAGATGCATTGCTTTTCGTCCTAGCGGGGTTTATTGAACATTGTAAGGCAGGATTAGGATACAAGAAAACAGAAACATCTGTAGGAATGATTTGGGGAACTCTGACACTTGCAGGCAGCTGACAGCTGATTCTGTTTGCCAGGCCTAGCAGATTAACGGCTCGTAGGGTGAACATTGAGCGCCATGAATGACAAACAAGCTGTGGTGTGTGTGAGAGGGTCCTTTGCAGCGAATCAAAACGAGCGAAACTGAAAGCATAGCGGCATAGAGTAAAAAGTGCTGGCAAAGGGAGCCTTCCACCTCCATCCATTTGGTGGACCATTGCACTTACTGGGTCCACGTATGAACACACGGCACTACCACACCTGTGGCAGTAACTGCTGAGTGTAATGCTTTGTCAAGAAAACAAGAGAAGTGGATCAATTTTATGGCTGTGGGCACAAGTGCAGGTTAGTTTTAAGGGTTGTCAGACCGAGTGCTCCCGAATGAAGCTAAGCTATAACCTAGACCCCGCAAAACGCCCTTTATCCGGCACGGGTAATTTTCAGGCGAAGCTAAAAACAACAATGACTGTAATTGTGCTGATTTGTTTGTTGCTGCCTTAGCTTTGTAGCCTTTGTGAGCTCCTCTTTTCGCGCATGTTCCGCGTCATGCTTTCCAGCGCGAGATTGACAAAAACTGCAAATCAGGGTTCAGGTAGGGGTTCTTAATGGTTTATATACAGAATATGTTGTTGTTTCTTGAAGCATTCCAGATTGGTACCCAAACCCTGTTAGTTGCAAGTTCCCTTGTGAGAACTTACATGATCACAGGCCACACTAACCTGAGGCGGAGGAGGAAAACATGGCTGCCAAGACTGCCATCCGGACGCAACACAAGGAGTTGGAAAGCTGGTATCCAGGCAGGGCTTGGCCTGGTTCACAGCCTACGCGGCAGCCTGTAGCCTGCTATTGTGTCAGATTCTGTGAGGTTTGCTCATGTTCTTGGAACTGAAAAGAGCGTTGGCATTCTCATGCGCGTGAGATGTGTCAATGGCATGGGAAAAACACGCCAAACCATGACTGCCCTGCGGAGCAGGAAAACGTGTCCTTCACAAACGATACCGGCCGGTAGTTACAAAGAATTTGCGTTTTGCCACTTGACAAGGTGGCAGTGCTGGTGGGTTGCACTCCAGAGGTCCTTTTCTACCCTTAGTCAGTCAGGCCAACCAGCCAACCAGCTGCTGTCCACCGACCTAGTTGTGTTTGGGTCCGCTTGTGACACCACCCGGATATGAAGCTATCAAAGCAACCTCCGAGTTTCCCAGCGCCAGGATTCCAACTCTACCAAGATTCCTTCGTGAAGAATTTGTTGCCACAGACGGATCATGGCCCGGAGCCGAGAATCCAGTTAGCGAAGCTGTTCTGCTTGGGCAGAATTATTTTTCCGCTCATATATATATATATACTGGTGGATTCGTATTTCACATTGATGTGTCAGTTTTGAGACTGTAAAAACCAACACTTTGCTGAGGCGCAGTGCCCTTGCCAGTTGAAGCATGCCTTTCTTGTCAGCTGTAGATGGCCAGCAGGGCTTTAGAAGCTACCAACTCAGAGCCAAGCATTTGCCTCTTTTTGACCCAGAGAAACTCAGAGAGTTACACTGATGTGGTTCGCCCATGGCTGTCAACAAAATAAAGGACCAGCTCCCCATGAGGTGAACTGATCTACTTGTCCTTTCCAGGATATGACCCCTCATGAGGCCCAGATTTCTTTGTATATATATATATATACTGACTTATTAAGTGGTTTGGCATCCAAAACCCAGGCCTTTGCATGTTCAACCAAGGTGGTATGTCCTCCAAGATGTTCAAGGACGGGTTTTCGATTGGGTGAAGGTGCCAGAGTGCCCTGTGGATAGAATCGAAGATTGCAGTTTCCCAACGATACACTAAGCATCACTACGCCTCGGCGGATCGCAAGTGACCGGACGAGGATCGTCAAAGAGTAACTTCCATGAGTGGAGGTGCCACTTGCGCACTTGTTCCCGGTTCAAACAGGTTTCTTTCGACACAGGATGGTGAAGCGAAAGCTAGAAATGTATCCAAAGTTTGATGCAACTTGTCTTCATACAGCAGCTGTCTCTTCTGTGTGTGCGCGTGTGTGTGTGTGTGTAACCCTTGGAATCACAGGGATCCTTTCGGATTGTTGTTGCTTTTGTTTCTTTGGTTTGCAGCAGGGGGACTGTCTACCCCACAGAAGTGACAGTCCAACGAAGAGGCTTCTGTGGCGGTACTGATATCACTGGAGACGTCCAGTGACGTACCTGCGAATTTTGTATGGCATGAGGCTAAGCCCAGAACCTCAAGACATGATACCTAAGTAGCCGCAGACTTGCACGCCACGACGTCATCTTGTCGGCTCGTCGATCGCCTTTTCCTTTGGGCCCTACTTCCTCTTGAAGACCTCCAGGATCCAGTGGTTCATACGTGTACCCTTAGGAATTGGAACCCTAGGCCGGCGTGTGGCACCGCTTTCAGTTCCGTATGCATATCCATAAGTGCGTCCGGGATGAGCCCGCAGAGTGCCTCCCGTGGACCCGTTGAACGGGGGTTTGTCGCTGTTTCCCTTGCTTTGGAAACGTAAGTGCCCATAGCGGGCGAAGGTGGCCCAGGCCGTACGTACGATGATTTTTGTCTCATCTTTGGAATTCCAAGTTGGCTCATGCCTCTACGTGACCGCAGCGGTCCAAGCTGGCTTAACGCCTCAACGTGGTCAGAGCGACCAAAGTACTTTTGAGGTTCGTTGGAACCTGTCGCGACCTTGGGTGCACATACAGCGTGTACATTGAAACGAGGCAGGTTTCCTAGGTCGTTGTAATGAGGTTTGGCTTCATCGGTTCTCGTCCCTTCCATTTGGTTCCCCTTTCCTCCCTTCCCCTTCACACACTTTTGTTTCCTCTTTTCTTTCATGTCCTCCTGTCTTCATGTCTGGTCATCTCATCCTTTTCTTC